CTATTATTCACTTTAGAGATGGACATAAGTTTGTAATTCAAATGAACCATGTTGAGCTAAAAAAAATGAAATGTACTAAGCAAAAAATATTAATGAAATAAAATTAATATTTAATAAATTTTATACGAAGTCAATATTAATCCAAATTAAGGGGATCATGGACAAACATGATCAGTTTTCTAGTACACCCAAAAAAGGCCTATTTTAGATCTAAAGTGTTTTCTAGGCCTTAAAGAGGTCCTGTTCAAGGTCAGAAATCTTCTCTAGGTCTAAAACATACCCTATATAGATCCAAATATTTTCTCAGTGTGCTGAGTAAAACTAAACAGGTTTTAAAGAGGCCTAAATCATGACCAAGTGGAGAAATAAGGTTTAAACCAGGCCCAAAATTAACTCATGAACATTTTATATGCCTAAAACAAGCTCAATAATGATTTTTATTAGAGTTTATTTTGAATTTAAAAATTTTTTGGTTTATTATTGGGCTTGTTTTAGGCATAGAAAATATTGTTAAGTTACCATTAAGCCTCTTTTAAACTTGTATTGAGCCTATTTTTCGTTGTGGAAATGATTTAGAGCCCTTTTAAACCTGTTCCATTTCACTTGACTACATTTACTTGATTAAACAATCTTCAATAAAAAAACATATTAAATGAGTGTAGTCCTATCAAATATTTAGACGATCAATTAAACTAATTATTTTTATCTAGTCATTTTAATTAAGTAATCTACTCAATAAAACTGTTTTTTTTTTCTCATTATAAATTTATACTCTATTTCTAGGTATTTATTTTTTCACACCCAACATTTAATTACATAAAAACAAATTAAAGATGATAAATCACATTGAATAACAACATTAAAAATATCTAAATAGTTATTTAAATCTCTGTACAAATAAATGAGACACATTGTTATGAATCAGCTCTATTTAGAGATGAGTAATATTTGTTGAGATAACTGTGTTTGACAGTAAGAAAAAGATTCGTTGCTATTAGTAGATTCTCCGGGTTTATGTCCATGGTAACGTGGCTTAAATGCGAGACGGCTTCAAGCTAAATCCATAGCACGTGTTTGCATCGTAAATGGATCTCCGAAGATATTTAATGCCACTGAATCTACGAATGGTCATCAGCAGATTGTATAAATCCCCTAGTTCACATATTCATATATGCCTCTTAGCATACAGCTATCTAGATAAACCGATAAAATAAACTAATTGTAATATTAAATTGCTTTAATACCAAACAGTTGCTTACACTTCAATGATTATGATAACCATTGTATTAACAATAATAATATTATACATTTTCATCATAATAATATGTTGTCGTTATTTAACACTTCATGATTATGCACACATAGCATCCTGAAAACAAAGGATTATTAAACGCAAAGTTGAGTCATTGACACAACAGAGTTAGCAATAAAATAGAGTCACTGAACTTATTTATTATTGTTAAAAAAAATTAGTATGTTGATTAAATTAAATAATTTACACGTAATAACTATAATCTGATCATAAAAAGTGGGAAATAATTTTTTTTGTATTAACTTTTAGTTTTTTATGGTTAATTGAAGAAACTTTAGAACTTCAGATAATGAATAAATTATTTTAAAACCTTATTTTTTTACATTTACAGCACCGTTGGTAATTTAAAGTATTAATAAAAAAGATTCTTCTCAAATATTTATACAATTAAATTATTTTTAATGGTAGAATGAATTTATTATTCGTCCTACCTTTTTTTTTAAATGGATTGTAAATGCGTTTTCAGTGTCTGGGCAAATACGAATATCACTCAAAAGTATAATTAATAGATAATGGAAAGTTTACTAAAAACGTTTTAACTGTAACGAATTGACAGTATAGCGTTGATTTTTGATTTTAGTTGAATTTATAATAAATCTCTTGATCATTGAGTGACAGAGTCCATCTATTGGTGTATGAGTCGTAAATATTATATAGAAGAGAAAAGCTTCCAATTCACTAATCCATTGAGACCTTTCTTGACATTTTAGGAGTGGCTGAATTAGGATGATGCCATTCCTCATCGTTTATTAGGTATGCACCCTTGACACAGACGAAGTCATTTGCAGAAACGTTGCTTGAATAAATTCATAAATTCTCCAACCATTTTCTGATGTAGAAAAGAGGTCTCTACTTCTCTCTAAAAACCCCCATTAAGTGGCAAGTAAAGTACTATTTGGTAATCTGATAATTATTTGCTAACAACTTATTTAACCTTTTATTAAATCAGTAGGAAAATGATTCATTTTAATAATTTATGGGTTAAATAATCTGAAAATAATTTTTAATATTTTTATTCTAAAATGATAAAAATGATAAAACATTCATTTTCTTTAAAATAAAATTAGTGCAATTACTAATGTTCCTTTTTAAAAATAAAATCTTTTTTAAGAGATAATTACACAATCGTTTCTTCATGAATTACGAGCATTTTAACTAAATATAACTTTTATTCTGACAGCTAATTACCAAATAAAAAAAAATTACATGATAATTCTGAAAAAGTAGATTGAAGAGAAAAAGACAAAGCTCTAGAATACAATTCTTATTTTCAACCTAATTTTTTTTTTCTTTCATGCAACAAAGATTTAAACAATTTAAAAAATTGAGAGATTTTTTTCCGATACTTTTTTCATTTTATTGCAAAGATAAGCATTTTTAACAACGAACGAACAAAATCTTGAAAGAATGAGCCTTAAAATTCTATTCCATTCTTCAAAGTCCATTAAAATCTTCATAACAATAATTTAGTATTAAACAATGAAATATTTCATGTTTAAAAATAATTTTATAGTGTAATTAAAAAATTTTTTTCTCATTATTAATCTATAAGTAGAGAAGAAGGCGGAAGAGGAGGAGGAAAGGAAATGTAGGGTAGTAAGAAATAGTAAATTACAAAATGCGCATCAAACTGAGTACTATATAAAGAAGGGGAATTAAAGAAGTAAGTAGAAGTGAAGAAGATACTTTAGGTTATTATATTACAAAGATACAACGATATTACTCTTATTCTTGTGTCTATCCACCCGATGCGCTTAATGGTTGCACTCACGTGATTTTTCTTCTCACCGCCAAAGAGTTATATTCCAGCGCGTTCTCTTTTTAGTCACCCTATAACTCTTACTGAAGAGCTTCCTATTTTCCTCTTGTGCTCGGCAACTTTTTAATCACCCTCGACAGAACAAAGCTAGGTGCTGGAGCAATCGGTGTATGTCACAAGAACAAAACGTGCACCCACGCGATCATAATACACTATTCTTTTATCATTCTTTTCCGTTATTAGAACGATCCGATTGTTTCCGTGAATATTTGACATATTTTTTAACATTATGACCTCTTTTGTTGGTTCCTTTGGTATGTATATGTGTTTAATTGTTTGAATTGATTGTTCGTAACAAAAGATGAAAATAGATTATGTTATTTTCTAAAGAGGGGTCTTCCCTGGATGATTAATGAACCCTCATGTTATGGAAATTGCTCATGTGATTCGCCTGTTTTTCCCGATGTTTAATAATTCGCTTACTTGTTGTATTTTATAGAAATACGTAGGCTGACTTATCTCAACAGATTTCGCTATCAGGGGGATAGAGCAGTTATATGTTTTATGATAAAAAATGATTTAATGATGCTAGGAATACAGTCTGCTCATCGTTGCGATAGCTAATATCTTTTATAAGTCGGATGGTCCAGGTTTTTTTTTTCTTTTTTTGATAGATAATACCCTCTGTCAGCTAGACAGTTAGAGTTTTTAATAACTCATACCTTCTACATGTTTTAGATGGGTTGGTTGTACTTAGTCATATTCATTCCATTTTTTTAATTCTAAAAATGATAATATATCATATACATTAAGGTATTTAAATTCAAGATGCGCTCCACTTCAATTTTCATTGTTAATAATAGTAATTATTATTTGTAAGTTTTAAATTATTATTATTAAAAATTCTTTTATTCTTTAATTTATTTGTTATAAACGATCCATATATCATTATTTAGACATCAGTGTAGATATTAGTGCACTCATTCACAAGTTGACACATTTTTAATATTAAAATTAAATACAGTTTCATTTATAAATAATTACTAATCTTGCTATTTATTTTTGTTTATATTTAAAATCCTATCATTTTAGCCAGAGTAAGAAGTTTTGAAACTTTCAAAATATATATGAATAAATATTAATGCCCTAATAAGAAGTAAAATTGACTTAATTATGTCAATTATTATTTAATAATTTAATTATTAATTGATGGATCAACATTGGGTTAACTTGGATTGATACAGTGTTGAATCAGAGATGGGCCCATTGTGTTTTCTTACTAGGGTGTTAGTAATTGTTCATAAATAAAACTATACTTGGTGCTAAAAATTTTTCAACATTTGAATCAGTGTCTATCATTGATAACAAATAAATTTGAACAACACTTTTAACTGATTCTAAATAGATGTTAATATTTCATGATAGTAAACATTGCTTCAAAAATATTTGCTAAAGAATAAAATTTTAATTGTAAAAAATATTTTGTTTATTTTGAATTTATTTTACTTTTTCCTCAAATTATTTATTGTTGTGATCTAATTATTTCGAGTAGGGGAAGGTAGGGTAAAGTATAACAAAAGAACCATTATATAAACAAATGTTAATAATTTTTAATGCTTTAATAAATTGAAAAATTGATTAACAACAAGTGCAATAAGCGTTTTTAATCTTATTTTAATAAATCAGTACATTTTCTCGAGCGTTTCACTTTACCCTCCCTTCTCCTATCTATCAATATGTTTTTAATTATAAATAAATAAAAATAAAAAAAAATTCTAATTTTATCAGTCAATTTATAAAATATAAAAATGTATAATTTTTTTCACTGAAGCAATTTTTTTATTCATTTTACCAAAATGTACCTTTTGAAGAAAATATTTGTCAACAGCGACACTTGAAAAGTACATTAAATTTTCTCTCTTGTTTCAGCACAGCGATCGCTCGACACCTGTTCTTTTGATTGTTTCACTGGCTGGGATCAAAATATGCAGCCCAGATGGAAAAGTAAGTAAAGTAAAAGTAGTAAGTGCAAAAATTAAACTGAGCTTGACACGTTGCATTTTAATGTGCTATAAAAAACATCGAATAGCAAGTGACGAGTATATGGTGAAAGGTAAAGTGAACAAAATAGCAAAAGAGAAAATAAAGGAGAAAAATTTGCGTGAAAAAAATGTCAGATCTGGTTTCTCGCGTTTTATTCATTGCGGTGTCGTACAACAAAAGAAGTCGGTCAAGCAGCTGAGCTCGACAAAATCTCTTGGTCGATTCATTTTCTCAACTCTTTTGGTGGTAATTTCCCACGTTAATTCTGCGGAAATTCTGACCACATTATTTCGTACTTTACAAAGCATATCAGTTTAATTTTTACCATTGAATTTTTTTTTTACTTTTTTTTCTCCCTTTATACAATATGTGTGAGGGTTGTCAAAAATCTTGAAACAAAAGAAAAGGTCTTGCTTTAAAAATATCTGTAAATTAAAAATAATAAAGACTATTTTTTTTTATCTTGAGATTGAATTGTTTGAGTTCCTTTGCATAAATTTAAAGCAACCTGATTTAAAAAAAGGATAAATTGTTTATTCAAATTATTAATCTTCCATTAGGAAGTTATTGTAATGAAATCAATTTCTTAAATTAGTAATTTTGTTATACCTTTTAATTTTAAAACGTCTTAAAGCATACTAAGAAGTTTTAAAATAATTTTAAAATGCAGCCGTAATTTTGAATAATTAATAACCATTAAAACACTGCAGATCCAAGTGTTTAGAAACTAAACATTTAAAATACTTACAACTTTGAATGCCATAAACGAACTGCAGCAGTTTTGTAGACGAATTTTAAACGCTTCTCGCCGTTTACCAAAATGCTACAGTTTGTTGATGGCCATCAACGTTGTAAGCACTTAGATGTTTAATTATAAAACACTCTTAGCGTTTTATTACTTAACACTTGAATTTTTCTGGATTTGCAGTAAATAAGTAAAGTAAAAAGCAAGTTACATTGCAAATTCAAGATTTTTGATGTATATTAAAATAACTCACATGAAGTGTGTTCAATATTTAATTTCTATAAACAAATTGTAGAATTTAACACACTATAAAATGAGTAAAAAGTGACTACAAAATGCAATAGTATGTATCTAAAATTTTCCGTATTAAATATACTTAATGTGCATTATTTTAATTCATTTCATTAATTGTATTAAAAAAAAATAACCAAAAATTTCTAATTTAAATAAAAAATTTTTGCTTAAAGTTTGAAAACAAGATTAATAAGTTCTTCAGCTTTAAATAAATTCTTGTGTGATTATACTTAAAATGCTTCTAACAATTACCGTGTTATTATTTGATATCCAAGATCAACAAGCCAGAATGATAACAGCCGAAAAAAGATAAAACATAATATATGTTTACCACTTAGTCGAGTATAATGGGCGATGAATAAAAAGAGAAAATTTGAGTCTTTATCTCTCGCCTTGTGGTTGTCGAGTTTTGAATAGTACCGCCAGTGAAATTCAGCCGAGGGGTTGAAAGGAAAGAAAGAAAGGAAGAAACAGTAAAGAGGAAAAAGAGGGTATGAAGTGACTCCTGTGGGAGTTTGAAAGTTTCGTTGGTGATTGGCAGTACGAATGAATGCACGTTAGTGACTAATGCGACCCTCTCTGGCGTTTCTATATCACTGTCGTACTGATTGATAATCTCATCGTCCCTTTAGCATGAAATTCAACGAGAATTTCACTTGCGGAAGTGAAAGTAAAAGTCTAAAATTTCCCGACTTTTGTCACTATCGTCATGTACGATTGTTCATAATAGAATAGAGATAATTGACGAACTTATTTGATGAGACGGTGAGACATCAAAAACTGAAGAAGAAGAGGATGGCAAACAATCGCACGTGCTTTTGGTGGTGCTTTCGATAATGGTTCAGCTGAGATTTATGATCCCTTTTCTACTACGGAGTGCGGTCGTTCTGAATCTTCCCTTGTCTGGATATACATGATTCCAACTACTTCAACTTGGGTGGAGTCAAATCCACTGTAAGTGATTGCTCTTGTCTATGACCACCACAAGTCCTAGCGTCCGTCAACGAATATAAATCAGAGTTTCCAATATTACTGACTACTCTGACAATCGTTTGATTAAATACACCCTTGTTAATATACTTAGTCAAACCGAGTGTTTGTTTAGAATTTTCAATCGTTGATATCAAAATAAATATTTATTTTCTAACTCAAAAAATATTAGAAATATAATATCAGCTTTAAATATTGAAAAAATTATAAGTTTGATTTGAATTATTTTTAAATGTTTCGTATTGATTAAATTATATAATTACTTGTAGTCTAAATAGTTGAAATGTGATTTCTGAATGAGAAAATTTAAAATGACTAGAGTTTTATGCAGGTATTAGAGCATAATTTATGCTAAAATTGAAGCAAGTTTCCGTTTTATCCCATTTTAGGGATAAAATAATTGATTTTTCATATGTTTGACCTGATTCCGTATTTCTACGCATCAAGACGAAGAGAATGAGTGGTCAAACTTTAAAATCGGACAACTTTGATTTTTCACCCCCGGAAAATGGCAAGTGGTACCCCTTTCCATTTTTTTTAGCCAAAAAATAAAAGTACTCCGATTCTGATGATCGAGGACTCATTCTCTTCGTCTTGATGCGTAGAAATATAAGATCAAGTCAAACATGTGAAAAATCAATTATTTCATCCCTAAAATGGGGTAAGACGGGAACTTGAAAAAAATTTATTTATACGGGCATTTTCAATATTAAGTTCAAACAAGAAATTATTGATTAAAAAATTGCAAAATCTCTAAAATATTCCTTGGAGTTTTTTCCCAACGTATTAAAATAAAACACTAAGATTTGTAGTGGAATCAGTACTAAAAGCTAATTAAAACACAACCACAACATCTTCCAGTCAATTAAAAGAAAGAAAACTGAATTAGAAAAAAATGACATTAAAAATTCAATTTGATACGAAACTCAGTACATTTTAAAACCAAAAAAATAAATGAAATGTATTAAAGTAACTTTCCTTCAGATTAACGAAATATTCGATTTATTGGAACGAAACTAAATCTGAAGTCGACCTTGAATAATGAAAAATTATAAAGGAAAGAATTGATGATAAATTGAATAGATTTGTATGACACTAACAATGCATTTAATGATATCAGCTGCAAGCTTATGAACGAAAACTTTCACCGGAAGCTTTGCCTTTTGATGGAGGGGTACAAACTTTATCTAGAAGATTGTTTGAACCCCAACCGAAAGCTGTGGGGAAACTGTCCTTTCAGCTCTCTTCGAATGTTCTGAGATACAGATCCTGGCCAGACGCACCTCACCCAACGGTTCTAAGTTTTGAGTTACATCCGTCTTTCCTTAGAAACAGAAAGAGATCTCACTCCATGTCTTTTCTTCCGGTTGTCTGAATATCAAACTTTTCTAAAAATTGCAGTTTATAAATGCTTTCTTTGTCATCGTTCGTTTTAAAAACATCTTGAGAAAAATTTTTCATATTTATCAAAAGCAAAAAATTACTTTTAATCATTTTTTTATAAAGTTATATAATTTTAGATGATTAATATTTTGGAGTAGCAATGAAATATGGTCATTCGTGGACTTGATTACAATTTTCTACGGTGTACCATAATGTTGCTATCCCACTACTACCTTATAGCTATTCTCCAACTACCTTATTATTACCATCAAGCTTTATTGGAAACCTCAACTTTTGTAAGTGTGTTATATAACACGGTTGAAGTATGTAAAAATGATAATACCCATTCGATCGACATTGTAGTCACTTTTAATATTTTTTCAAGTGTGTTAAAAATGAGTAAAATGTTCATCAAAATGGTCTCCAGCCATGTTATAAATAAGACACTTCTATAAGTCGAGATTTACAGTGTACCTATTACATCAGTAATTACAAAGTTACCCTAGTCTTTTTTTCCTTCCAGGCTTGAATTTACTCCCTTATAAATGCTATACTCTAGTAGGATATACCAGACTTGCCAGTAAATGAAGTTATTATCCAGTCATGGCTGAGTACAGAATCATTACTGAATGATAACTTCATGCCAGGCCCATTAATGGATTTGTTGTATATTCCTACTAGGGTATCAGGCAAGGTATCTTAAAAATGAAATGAACCATATTCTGAACTCCAAAATAATTACTTTGAAATAATTGAAAATTATTTAATAAATATTAATATTTGTTAAAATTATTGAATTAAAAGAAGCTCGAGATTTAAATGAGGGAATAGGTTAAAACTTGATAAAATAAATAATTAACATAAGATATAATAACAAATACAATAATCAGAAGTTTCATGTACTTATGTGTTTGTACAAAACTTCAATGATGATACCAGACTTATTTGAAGTAATTAAAACGATGTCTTAACCACTCAAACATATTCAAAACAAAAACAACTGAGTATTTTCTTTTACACAAATTCACATTTGATGACATCCCACAATCCGGGTAGGAATTTAAATGCTGTCTTATTTTAAAGTCCAGAACATGGCTAATTTATTTTGAAAGGAATTTTGTCTTCGTATATTGAAGCTAATTTCAGAATATTTTTTTTTTAATAATTATTCTCTATTAAATCATTTTTTTTAAAGGATGGCTACCACAACATTTTTATTCGGAGTTATTTAGAAAATCTATTGTTATCCCCCTCCCCCCACACCAAACTCATAAAAGGGTGCGGTTTAAATCTAGACAATTATTCTTAAAAAATATTCTCCCATAACTTTTTGTTACTTTTCATAACAAATCCATGATTTTTCAGGGCTATAAAACAATGTTATTTATCTATCGATTTATTAAAAAACTATTTTTAGAATGCAATTTATGGCAAAAAAATACCGACTATGAAAATAAAAATGGAAAATCCATGAATATGAAAATTTATTTAAATCCACTGCTAGGTATTTTCATCTGAGATCAATATTTTTATTCTATTCCTGTAACAA